ATTTAAAATACTGCTTAGCATAACTGATACCAATGTAACGAGTATACGATGATCTTTCTTATGCTGGTTTCCGAATAAAAATCCATTATTTATTGAGAGAGATATGGTCTAATAAATACAAAAAGCCTTCACAAATCTCATCACGCCTGTGTGCATTCCGGGTTTTGTATTCACCCCCGGTCTCATCGTCTCATCACCTAAAAGCGTCTTCAACCGACATCAAGCGTCTTCAAGTGACAAAAAGCGTCGCCAGACAACATCTTTAAAAATACTGAATAAAGTAAGTGACATCAGAAGATATGTTGTTAATATGACTATAATTCACCACTGTACCAAATTTTAATTTGATATTTGATAAAATGACCGAGTTATGATGAATTGAATTTTTATGATCGCAGCGTGACACATGTGTGTATTAGCATATTCAAAGTGAAGAAAGCGTCGCCAGATAATATCGTTACAATTACCCGCTAAAATAAGCGACATCAGAAGATATGTTATTAGTTAGACCTTTATGGATATATATTCCAAATTTCAGCTCGATATTTGAAAAAATGATCGAGTTATGATTAATTTATTATTACGATCGGCGGCGTGGCATACGTGTGTTAATAAAACTGTACATATCAAGAAGCGTCTTCAGACCTTACCTCTTAAAATGATTGATAAAGTAAGAGACATCATGAGATATGTTATTCATATGACTATGATACAATTATATACCAAATTTTAATTTGATTTGTTGAAAAATGATTGAGTTTTCGTGAATTTAATTCATACGATGTACAGATATTAAGCTATACGCCGTGCCACATATGTGTACGTAGGGTAAGGCTTCGCATAGGCAGAGACGTGTATGTATTCCATGAAATGAAATCAGTGACAGCAACTTCATACGAGAAGTAATTGTTACAAAAGGGAAACCCCCTTCAGTTATCCTTTATACCGACAACCAGCTGACGGATATGAAAACCGCTTGTACCAAAAACGGCGCATTTTTAGGAATTGATCGGACATTTAACCTTGGACCATGCTTCGTTAATTACTGCCTTGGTTTTTAATAACCCCAACTCGGTTAGGAAATGTAAGGAAAATTCTCCCATTATGCTTGGTCATGTTTATTTACATTGGGGTGCGAGCTTTTTCACGTACTCGCGGTTTTTAACGCATATTGCCAGTGTCCTTGATCTTGACTTTGACCTGTGTGACCTCGTTATAGGGTCTGACGAAGAGAAAGCTTTAGTTAAGGCCAAAGAAACCAGCTTCCCCGATGCCGCGCTTACTTACATACAGGAAAACGTATCGAGACATTTGTCAGTTAAAATTGGCATGACTTATGGCAAGCCAACTTAACATTTATTCAAGGAGCAATGACGATCCTGTATTTAAAAAAAATATATACGATATCTTATATAGCATATGAGATATCTTATACAGTACAGTCTGTATATAAGATATCTCATATAGTATATGAGATATCTTATATAATATATAAGATATCTTATATACTATATGAGATATTTTATATAGAAATTAAATGAGATGATATATAAGATATCTTATATCGTATATAAGATATCTTATATCTTATATCTTATATAAGATATCTTATATCTTATATAAGATATCTCATTTAATTTTCTATATAAGATATCTTATATAACATATAAGATATCTCATATAGCTATATAAGATATCTTATATAATTAAAGTCTCGTTACTAAATAAGATATCTTATATAGGAACGAGATTTTAACAAATGTCGAAAATGTCGAAAATGTCCGGAATATCTCGAGGATCTACGTAGGGACAGTAGGCTTGTTGTAACAACACGTGTTCCTGTCACCGCCATTATGTCTGAGCCCACTTCAAAAGTGCGGGAAATGGCATTGTTCAATACATTGTTCAGTATATATGATATATTATATACTTATATAAGATATCTCATTTAATATCTATATGAGATATCTCATATTGCATATAAGATATCTTATATATTATATAAGATATCTCATATAGTATATAAGATATCTCATATACTATATGAGATATCTCATATAGAAATTAAATGAGATATCGTATATGCGATGTAAGATATCTTATATACGGGATAAGATATCTTATATAATTAAAGTCTCGTTACTAAATAAGATATCTTATATACGGGATAAGATATCTTATATATCATATAAGATATCTTATATCGCATATACGATATCTCATTTAATTTTCAATATAAGATATCTCATATAAGATATCTCATATATTATATAAGATATCTTATATAATTGAAATCTCGTTTCTATATAAGATATCTTATATACTATATAAGATATCTTATATCGCATATACGATATCTCATTTAATTTTCAATATAAGATATATCATATAAGATATCTCATATATTATATAAGATATCTTATATAGAAAATTAAATGAGATATCTTATATACGATATAAGATATCTTATATACTATATAAGATATCTTATATCGCATATACGATATCTCATTTAATTTTCAATATAAGATATATCATATAAGATATCTCATATATTATATAAGATATCTTATATAGAAAATTAAATGAGATATCTTATATACGATATAAGATATCTTATATACTATATAAGATATCTTATATCGCATATACGATATCTCATTTAATTTTCAATATAAGATATATCATATAAGATATCTCATATATTATATAAGATATCTCATATAGTATATAAGATATCTTATATACTATATAAGATATCTTATATAGAAATTAAATGAGATGCTATATAAGATATTTTATATGATATATAAGATATCTTATATCGTATATAAGATATCTTATATCGCATATACGATATCTCATTTAATTTTCAATATAAGATATCTCATATATGATATCTCATATATTATATAAGATATCTCATATAGTATATGAGATATCTTATATAGTATATAAGGTATCTCATATGCTATATAAGATATCTTATATATTTTTTTGAAATACAGGATCGACATTGCTCCTTGAATAAATGTTAAGTTGGCTTGCCATAATGACTGATAAAGACAAGGCCCCGATCATGTCATCAATCGTTGGTGAAGAATTATGATTCAACAAAAGAATTTAATACCATTGCACAAAGGGTCCCGAGCTGATTCAGCGTTTGGATACCATTCAACAATCGCAGTACTCTGACGTACATCTTGTAGATCGCTGCATGGTACTGGAGACTATGAATTGGCCGCGCACGCGCAGCATTTCAAGTTGAGCACAGTTGTGTGGCGCGAATTGCCAACGTTTGATAAAGCGCGCAAAGTTGACAAGTTCCTAAATTATGTGTGGAAGAAAACAGATTTTTTAACATCTACGAATGGTATGTTAACAAAACCTAAAACCGCAGCAATCGCCAAAAAACAAGGGACGCGTACACGTGTTCGCGCGAATCGCACCGAAACGCACGGTCCTGTTAAACAAAAGTTGTAACTTAGTAACCTGATGACAATTACGCTAAATGAAGAACTTTTTTACGCTTTCACAACACTTGTGTGTCCGCAGGACGGGATTCAAGTTGTGAAAATGATTGACATTTGATTTTTTTACGAGTTTGAACAGAGAAACAGTTATTCTTACGTAAACAGACAAAATGTATTTGATTTTGTGAAATACCGATATTTACACCTGTGTGCCAGTTATTTCATAAGAAGTTTAAAACGATTGTATTTTCTCCTGTATCTTTACAACAATAACCATTAAAATTTAGTGTAGTCTTCATTTAAACTTATAGGTACTTAGGGATTTTTTTTTTAAACACTAACATTAAATCGATCAGTCACACGAACATATAACGGACCCTGAGTAGAACCACGTCCGTAGGGTCTGGTAACATGCTCGTTTCAAGAGTGTGCATGGCTGAGAGTTCTACAATATAATTCGGTCTAACTGTGTTCACCTATGCGAAGCCCTACCCTACGTACACATATGTGACACGGCGTATAGCTTCGTAAAATCGTAAAATTAAATTCACGATAACTCAATCATTTTTTAACAAATCTACCTGAAGTTTGGTATAAAGTGGAATCATAGTTATATGAATAACATATCCTCTGATGTCGCTTACTTAATCGATTAATTTTAGAGATATAGTTTGAAGACGCTTCACAATCTGTTGAGTTCTATTCACACACGTGTGCCACACCGCCGATCGTAATAATCAACCTTATCATTACTCAGTCATTTATTCAAATATCTACCTGCAGTTTGGTATAAAGGTGTATCATAGTTATATGAATAACATATCTTCTGATGTCGCTTACTTTATCGATTAATTTTAGAGATATAGTCTGAAGACGCTTTACGATCTGTAGAGTTCTAATCACACACG